CACAAATTCGGAAGTTGAAGCAGTTGACAATTATCGATGAAGCCTACACGTGCAGACAAATTCCCTATAAAATATTAATGGACAAACTTTCAATTTCTTCGCTGAGAGAACTTGAAGATTTGATTATTGATTTGATGTATCTAGAGGCGATCACGGGCAAACTTGATCAGCAAAGGGCTCTTCTCGACGTGGACTCGGCTATAGGTCGTGATGTCAAACAAGAAGAGGTAGTTTTTTGTTTCTTTTTTACTAGCCCCTCTGATTAGATTACCCATCTTCATACATCGCTTACTCAGTGGTGTGAAAGAGTGGATTATGTATTGAACCATCTAGCTAATGAAATAAAGTTAGCTCACGTCCAGCGACAAGAGGTTGATACCCATAAAGAGCAATTGACTAACGAAGCTGCCGCTCTTAAGATTGCAATTAAGAGCCAACTCCGAAAAGCACAAGTATTTTTAGTTTCCTATCTTTCTTTGTTGATATGCTTAGGCTTGGTTTATACCTTCTAATATCTTCATGTAGAGCGACGCTTCCCGAATGGACATTGATGAATGCCTTGGTTTGCCCGAATTGATGCTTCCAGATGGAGCTGTATTTCCAACTAAGTCTGCAGGTACCCTTTTTTTATTTGCTTCTGACAAAGATTTTTGGTAGCTATGCTCCTTGTTTTCTTCTTAAATCTAAGTAACTAATTCTTCCTGGTATTCTGATCGCACTTTTTACTCTCAAAGATTTGTAGGAACTATTTGTTTGCTTGAGTTACTTTCATTCATTGTCAGTATTTATTGCCTTATCACTGAAGAGTTAATGTCTATAGCTAAAAGCCACGCCTGTCACTCATTTTAACTTTCAGTCTAATAATTTTAATATGATAACTTGATGCAAGTAATAAAACAAGATACCATTTATTTACCTATTTAATCTCCCTATCTTTGTTAACTTTATCTCATTATATCTAGTTAATGCCTGCTCATAGTCGTATAGATCAAAAATATGTGTAAAATTGCGCTTGTTTTCCTATTTTATTGTTAAATGCTCCACAATAACCCGATGTTCTCTGGTTTTTATATTCTTATTTGTCATAATTAATCAGCTTGTTAGAACGAATTTCAAATTAGGTAGTGTTCTAGATACGAAGATAAAGTTGGTTTCGATGAATCAATGATTCTTAGAAGTATGAAACTAGCGGATAGCAAACATTTTACTAGAGTTGGAGCAGCTAACAAATATACTCTTGAAAAATAATTATCCTTTAGGCCTTATTGAAAATAATATCTATACTGAGGAATAAATTTTCATACGAAGACCATTTAGTCAGAGACAAACTAAGACCCTTTCCCATGTCCTAATTTTACCGTCATGCTTTCTCTCAAAAAAGATAGGCGAATTAGTAAAAAAAGTGGGGCATAAAAACAGTATTCAAAGAAACCTTCACACCTGTTATGTCATCATTTAGAGAGAAATATGACCCATTATCGAGATCCGGCCGCTATAAGATTGTTTGCTCATGTTGTCGATGTCATGTTGGTGAGACATGCCGACCTATTCGACAAAGATTGGTAGAACACAAAAATGCTTGCAAAGCTAGCTGGATCCAACAGTCAGAAGTGGCAGAACACATGGTAGATACTGGACATGGAATAAACTGGTCTTAATTTAGTAGGTTTCCCGATTATGGTACATATGTGTTTAAAAAAAAGATAAGAGAGGCTATTAAAATTAATAGATTAGGGAATATGT